CGACTTTGGTTTCTTGTTAAAGGGCTGAAATTTTCTTTGATTTCCATCAAAGGAAGTTAGTTCAGTAGTTGTTGCTCTGAGGTCAAGAAATTCAAGGAATTTGGTATAGGAAGGCACATCCTTTTCTGCTTGTGTAAATTTTTGCCATTCAATCATTGTTTGGGAATCAAGTTTGGACTCGCCCAATGTTGTCATAAACCTATCAAAGTCAAGCTTGTCTTGTGCTTTCAATGATCTTAAATGATGCTGGAAAGTGTCATGTAACTGTCTCAGTTCTGAGCTTGAGCCATCTTTAACTGGTTTGGCATTTAGCAAAGCTCTAGCATGGGCACGATGGATAATTTGGGGGCGATCAAAACGAGCCTGGAGTGCTGCAATAGCTTCAGGGTAAGCTTCTGCAACTGCATCGATTCCTTCTATTGCATCTCTAGCCCTTTTAGTGACAAGGGATTTCAGAAGATACTGCATGCGAAGTTGATTATCTAATTTCTTCGAGTTATGTATTGTTGCTTGAAAAATTGTTGCCAATAAGACTTCCATTTAGTGGGTTCCCCATCAAATGTAGGGATATTGAGTGGAGGAAGCTTCACAGTTTTTTGTTCATTTACTTCAGAACTTTCTAGCGCTTTGACTTTATTTAACAATAAGTTAAGTTCATGCTGTTGTTGAGTGTTTTTAACTTCGAGCTCCTTATTTCTGTTTTCCTTTTCAATTTCAAGCTCTTTAGTTTGCTGCATTTGTTCACGGCGATGTTGCTTTATGAGTACAGATAATTTCTCTTGATTTGATTTAATTTTGTCAAAATAACTAGATAAAAGATCATTCCAATTTCCACCATCTACATCATCTAAATCTGGTATAGACGACTCAATTTCACTTGTAAAACTATCAAGAGATTTCTCACATTCAGAAATTTGATTTCTGATATCGATAAGATCTTCAATATCGCTTTCATTAGGCTTATCAGTTGCTTCTTCAATATTTGCAATTGTTTTGTTTATGTTAGTCACAATACGATTCCATTTTCGTTCTATAATTGCTTTCTTATCTTTGCTATCAGATGATTTTGTTTCATGTGAAACCTTGGTAGATTGAGTGTTCATAAAAAATACGAGTTTACTTACAGTTTCTCTGATCCGATCGTCATGAGCATCCAGCTCTTCGTAGTCTTTTGCGATCAGTTCTTCATCCTTAGGATCGATTTGAGCGTTGGCCAATAAATATATTTCCTGAAATTGATTATCCAAATCACGAAGTTCCTTTAAGTATTGTTCAGCACATACAATGTCGAATTGTGAGCTTTCGATCTTTTGTACTAGTGGTACGACTTTCTTTATAAGATTGGTGATTTTTCGCTTTGTAATGCTTCGTTTCTGTGCTAGCGTTTCACGAGATTCTTGCGACATGTTTACGTTCTACGATTTGTCTTGTTTCAAAATGAGTCAAACGACGCCATTCTTTCGCTGATTTACATCCGTCTTCGAAGGACCATAATAATAGATGCGATTGTTTACTTGCTTTTAACTGCCTAGCTAGCAGTCCTTTGTTTTACCCAAAAAAAACAGCGAGTAACCGAGGTAAAACTTATATTTTCTTTTTCTAAAAAACATGTGTTCTTAAAAGCATGCTTACTGCGCATGCGCTTGCTAAATTATGCTAAAAACTTTATGTAAGACATATAACGCGTGTCCAGTAGTCCTTCATAGTGGCGTCGTCCGCGGCTGGAGGTTGATATACTACAGCTACTATGATATTTGAGATACCACGTGGTAAGCGTTTTGGTCGAAGATTAGCCCAAAGAACTTCATGATCACTGTGATTTAGGTCTGCTAAGATGTTACAATGTATTGAATCTTTTACGTACATACATACGCCTACATGAAGCCGGTTGGCACGGTCTCTTCTATAAAGTTGGTAATGTTTGATATTAATAGAAATATCAGGAACGGTATCACGCAACCAAGTTTCAGTGAATAGGGCAATATCGGCATCAACGGTTTTGATGGTATAAGCGATTTCGTCGATTTTTGGAGCAAGCGACATCGTATTGGATAACAGAATTGACGGGACAAAATGTTTTAACGACGGGCAATCATTTTTGATTATTTTAACGGGAATTAGGTTATGAACCGTACTTTTGGCAAAGCAAAAGTAGATTTGGATGAAAACCGCGTATTATAATTATGCTTATGTTCTTTAAAAAAATCAGTAAAAACAATTGGAAGAGTGTCACAATGGTACTGATGCATAAATAGGACTGTACAAAAATGAACAATGTCAGGAAATTTCAATAAGTTGAGTTCTTTGAAAAGAGGAGAACTGTGAGTTCTGAAGGGTGAGAAAGTTATAATACGTATAGCTTTTTTTTGTAATACCGTCAAAGGTTTAACGTTAGTCTTGTAAGTATTACTCCAGATTATTATTCCATAAATTAGAAATGGATAAATGATAGAATAATAAATTTTAATTAATATATCAATCTTAACAAAATTTCGAAGCTTTAATAATATGCCAATACCACGGGAAATCTTTTTACAAAGTTTATTAACATGCTCTTTCCAGTTGAGGTTAGAATCAATGATAACCCCTAAATATTTATAACTCTTTTTTTCAACTAAATCTTTGTTGTTAATGCTAAGATTAATAGTATAATCAACTACCTTTTGAACTGGATGAAAAATAACAAAATGTGATTTATCAACATTTAACGATAACTTATTCACACATAACCAGTTGTGAATGTTTATTAGTTGTTGATTTAAATGTTCTTCAAGAGATCTTAGATTTTTGTGAGCATAAAATAGATTTGAATCATCGGCAAAAAGGTGAAAGTCGAGCAAATCAGATGAGTTATTGAAATCATTATTATAAACTAAAAAAAGTAAGGGTCCCAAGACTGATCCTTGTGGTACCCCACACACAATATCATTTAGGTCAGATTTGGTAGTACCAACAGAAACAAACTGTTTCCTATCATCAAGATAAGAATTGAACCATTTATTTGCGATACCTCTAATTCCATAGTGCTGCAATTTGAAAAAATGACCAATTATAAATATAGGTTAAAGGCTCAGATACATTCATTTTTATTGTCTTTAATAGATTTATTGGAATACTAAATGGCCCAGTTGATTTACCTAATTTCAACTTCTCAATCTCATTTTCAATTTCACTACAGTCAGCTGGAAAGAGCATAAAACTATTACAAAGGGGTCTTCTAAGGAATTTTTTGTAGGACGAATTAACCACTGGTATACTTTCAGCAAGCTTAGTGCCTATGTTAGTAAAATATTCATTAAATTCACTGGCAATAGCAGCAGCATCAGTAATTCTTTCATTTCCCACCTTTATTAATGTTGGGAAGGAATAATTTACTTTTTTTAGTGTTATTAGTTGCTTAATTCCCTTCCATGTTTCCTTGATATTGTCTTTTTTTATTAAGAAATAATTATTGTAATAATTCTTTTTGCTTATAAGCAATAAATGTTTTAATTTATTCCTAACCAATTTAAATTTAGATAGATAATATCCATTTTTAGACTTAAGATACGACTTGTAAAGCTTGTTTTTATTCTTGATTGAAATCTTGAGGCCTTTTGTAATCCATGGTTTGGTTAGCAGCTTCACCTTATTTTTAGACAATTTTTTCAAAGGGACATGTCTCTCAATAATCATATTTAGTTTATTAAAAAAGTATTAAATGCTAAATTTGCATCATCACTATTATAAACAGTTTCCCAATTCACAGCACCAGTTTCTGTAATAAGATCTTCTTCATTATAATGGGAATAATCTCTCACAAAGGCATCATTTTTGAATATTTTAAAATTCAATTTACTTACGATAAGAAAATTAGGAAGGTGGTCGGAAATGTCATAAATTATATTGCCACTAGTGGTAGAATGATCAATGGAATTAAAGTAGATGTTATCGATCAATGTAGCGGAATGATCAGTAATCCTAGTGGGCTGCAAAATATGTGGTTGGAAAAAGTAAGAAATCATTGTGTTAAGAAATTCATCAGTACCACCATGAGACTCGCAATTCAATAAATTAAGGTTGAAATCTCCCATTAATACACAATATTTCCTTTCATTTGAAATCTTTTCAATAATGGGAGTAAGATAGTTAGAGAAATTTTCAAGACAACTATGGGGATGTCGATATATCACCAAGCACACAGTGTTACATTGATTATTTGAGTGAATTTTAATTGACAAACATTCAAAGTCATTAGTGGTAGTAGTGAAATCATCTCTAGCATGAAATTTAATTTTATCTTTAATAAAGAAACCAACTCCTCCAGCATTACACAAGGTGGGTTGGGAAATAAATGAATAATCTGGTATTGAAATATTAGTAATCAGATCCTTACCTTTCATTATTTTAGTTTCAGAAATACCTATGACATGAAATTCGAAATCTAAGTTATCATGATTAGCAGACAGGCTTCTTACATTGCAGTGTAACACAGAGAATGAAGAACCAGTTGTTACCCTGCTGATACTCTGCGCATTTTGGAACTCTGTTGTTGAGTAATATTTAAAATTAACCTCAGGCAATAGATGATTTTCCACATCATGACCATCTAAGTTTGGTAAATTCGAAAGTCTAGAAGTCAGTTCAAATTTTGGTAAATTATGGTAATTAGTCATGTTTATTCATAGGAACAATGAGAGACGTGCATTTATAATAATTACATAGTACTTATCGTGAAGATGATAATTTCTCCAAATCAGCAACAACATTAATAGCATGTGTAGGGCTAGTTGAATTTTTCCTCAAATAAATTCTGCCATTGTATGTCCATATATAGCGAAAGAATTGGTCTCGTTTAAACTTGAGACAATTCTTGAATAGTTGCTTGTTCCTTGGGCTGAGACTTTCGGAAATATATAATTTGTGTTCAGGTGACCTCAAAAAACCAAGATCTCGAGTTGTTTTATCTTTTAGTCGTAAACGACCTTGATAAAACTTAGCTTTGGTGTCTCTACGTGTAAATTTGACAATGATTTTAGCTGAGGTGTTAGCTGCACTTCGATTTTCTTGCTGGTTTTCACTTCTTGATTTTGGGAGCCGGTGACTTATAGATATGTCCCTCTCGTCTAGTTCGACATCCATTAAAGAGCCAATTTTAACTACTAACTTGTTCAGATCTTCATCAGTCTCTTGAGGTAGCCCCGAAATCTCAACGCAGTCGCGTCGAGAATATTGCTCAATTTCATTTAATTCTTTACTCTGTTGATCGACGATAGTTGAAAGTCGCAGAAGTTCGACTTTGAGGTGCTTGTTTTCTGAATGGACGTGCGAGACCTTGTTGTCTAGTTCTTCTACCTTCTTGAAGACATCATCGAATTTTTCACTTAGGAACTGAACAGAATCTTTGAGGCCATTAACAGTCAGGAGAATTGGACTTAATTTCTCGTCTAGAATGGCTGAAATGGCTTCTATAGTAATAGGTTTGGTTTTACTCATTATGGTGTATCACTCAAGGCAAAGAAAATTGCCTACAGAGATAAAAATGACCTTTAAAATAGCTTTTTCTTCGATTTAAACGTGGAGCTCATATTTTGACTGCCATCATGATTTCGTGCTTCCACTAAGACTATAGTCCTGACTATGAAAGACTATAATCCTGACTATGAAAGACTATAGTCCTGACTATGAAAGACTATAGTCCTGACTATGAAAGACTATAGTCCTGACTACGAAAGACCATAGTCCTGACTATGAAAGACTATAGTCCTGACTATGAAAGACTATAGTCCTGGCTATGAAAGATTATAGTAAAGACTATGAAAGACTATAGTCCTGACTATGAAAGACTATAGTCCTGACTATGAAAGACTATAGTCCTGACTATGAAAGACTATAGTCCTGACTATGAAAGACTATAGTAAAGACTATGAAAGACTATAATCCTGACTATGAAAGACTATAGTCCTGACTATAAAAGACTATAGTAAAGACTATGAAAGACTACAGTCCTGACTATGAAAGCCCATAGTCCTGACTATGAAAGACTATAGTCCTGACTATGAAAGACTATAGTCCTGACTATGAAAGATTATAGTAAAGACTATGAAAGACTATAGTCCTGACTATGAAAGACTATAGTCCTGACTATGAAAGACTATAGTCCTGACTATGAAAGACTCTGACTATGAAAGACTATAGTCCTGACTATGAAAGACTATAGTCCTGACTATGAAAGACTATAGTAAAGACTATGAAAGACTATAGTAAAGACTATGAAAGACTATAGTAAAGACTATTAAGACTATTGTCTAGACCTAATCTATAGAGGGCGAGCCGATCCTTATATATGTGTTATTTCCAACTAAATCTTCATTCCGTTGCTGACCGCCGAACAGAGATGACTAGCAGTTATATGAAACACAGACCATTTGTAGAACTCTTATGTACTTCTCATCCAACTCAACAGCAAGCTCTTCTTAATTCTACATCAGCTGAGCAAATTCGATGCTTGTGTCATTGTTTAGAAAATTTTACATACTCTAAAGAAACAAAGGACAAACTCAGACCTTTCGAACAAGATCTAGCTGATTTAGCAGACAGAAATAGAAATTTTAAGACGAAAAAGGAAATTCTTGTTCAGCGGGGAAGCGGCTTTCTGGGATTGGTACTTGGACCACTTTTAGAAGGCCTTGCAGAATTAATATAAAATAAAAAGTATGAAGAACATCTCCTCATTCCAATCATGGATAGCGACAAACGATCATCTCCTGAACAGTGGAGACTTGAAGACATTCTCAAATATCTTGACGTTGATGATGAACACGAAGCCGAAGAAATCCTTCATTCTATTTTAACCTCTACGGGGATTTTGACTTGGAATGGAAAAGGAGAAATCGTTTACAGAGGACATATATACGAGGCACTGACATTGTAGACCTTCTGAAATATTGCGTGACGCCTTATCATCCAGATATTCCCGAACCAACTGGATTGAGTATTTTTATAAAAGGTCTTGCAGAATTGGAAATTGATAAAAGCCTAATCTTAAATGGACATGTCCTTTCTGTGTTAGCCCACAAGTGGTCCCGTCAGGATACACAATCTGATGCTGACGCAACTTGTAACAGTTGTAACAAAGATATATACATCTCCCATTTGAGTACGTGCCCCGTATGCACATGGACAGATTTTTATCCGAATTGTAAAAACTGTCGCTGTATGATCTGTGATTTTCAAGTGTCCAAAGGAGATTTTACACATGTAATCGCCAGCTGTCCACATTGTCGCCGAGGTGAAATTATAGATATCAGAACGGATGAAAGGCAGTCCTTTAACCATAAAATAGGCGACCAAAGTGATATTTGATTAGTTGACTGCGTGAAGTTGAACTGAACACATCAACATGCCGAGAGGTACACTTGTTGTAGACGAAAAACTACTGAGAGACCATTTCTTGAGACAACAGCGTGGTGGGAATATCGCTGGGTTTAATGGTGCACGTTTTCAAAGAGGATATGGGATCGGAGGTATTTTCAAGAGCCTTGTGAGATATGCTATTCCTCTATTCAAACAAGGTGCTAAAGTTGTTGGCAAAAGAGCATTACAAGCATGGGACACAAACTATTCATAGTAAGCCAACATTAATCCCTCCATTGTACCACACACGTGGGGGACGCTAAAAAATGCGTAGCCAGCAAGTTTCACCAGATCGTGTTTAAGCTCGCCCGCGCGACGTCATTGCTTATAATTATGACGTTGTTAATGAGTGACGTCACTACGCACCCTCATTTGTACGAGTATTAATTATAAATGAGGTGGTGGACACCCACCACCTCAAACTCCACCACCTCACACACCACCACCACACACCACCACACACCACCACAACCACCACCACACACCACCACCACCACACACCACCACCACCACACACCACCACCACACACCACCACCACACACCACCACCACACACCACCACAAAAATAAGGCCCGAACGGTACCTATATTACTACTTGTGCATATATTAGAAAAAGGAGACCTTTAGAAATCAACCATTGTTATAATTTGAATCCTGGAGCACTTTGCTAAGCCCACGAGTGCGTAACATGCGATCTACGTACAGTATACATGGCAGATTGTTCCCAGGAGCAGACAATCTTTTGTTTAAACGTTATTTCAATTTCTAAAGGTCTCCTTTTTCTAATATATGCACTCCATCAATATTTCACGCACTACGGTTCAGCATATATGCAATTGAAAAGGCATTCAAATTTTAACAATATGGTTGATTTCTAAAGGTCTCCTTTTTTTTATACACCCTGCAGTCTAAAGCTTCTCAAGAATGTGAACGACTTTTAGGGAAGGAAGCCTCACATATCGATTTTGTCCATGAGAAACGTCATATGTTCGTTTCTCTGGAGACCCCCCCCCCCACCCCTTAGAAACGTCACACATAGTTATCGATATTTTGTTCTTACAGTACACTATGAGTACACATAAGGTAATTTTCTACTATTTTTTTTCGGTCGGCTATTGGCGATGCTTCCGCGAGGAATATGTCATCTTCTGCTGACATACTCTTTTTTATTAATATATATATATATATATATATATATATATATATATATATATATATATATATATATATATATATATATATATATATATATATATATATATATATATATATATATATATATATATTTAACAATTAGACAACGAAGCCGAGTTGTCTATGAGCGAATAGTCAACGAGGCGAAGCCGAGTTGACTATTCGTTCAGAGACAACGAGGCTGAGTTGTCTAATTGTTTTAGTATAAACCACATAAAGAAAACGGAATTTTTCACTTGATTTTTATGTAAAATAATAACGTTTTAACGAAATGAGCGTTTAAATGGCTTCCTTGGCTTTGGCGACATTTCGTCTTGGCTTTGTTGACAACTACTAAGTGTTGCGAACTCCCAAGAATGACTTGAAAAATACAACTTGTGAGTTTTTAAAAAGTTAAAAAACATGTCATAAAACAGTATAATAGTAAGAGACCGTTATAGAAGCAAAGTTTGGTTAATTAAAACTTATTTAAAAGAAGGAAACAAGGCTTAAAAAATCCAAAATTTCGAACACAAAATGGCTTCCCGAAATTTTATTAAATTAGTAAATAAAGTTTACGTTGTTAAAAAGCCGAATAAAAATGCACACACATGCAAAAGAATCCGATTATCCGAATGTCTTTGAAATCTTTAACATATCTGGATTAAAATTTAGAGGTAGATTAAAATTTAATCGAAAAACTCGACTTAAAAAGGCTCGAAAAAGACGAAAAACAAACTCGGCCAAAATCTCAACATTTAAACGAAAAAAACTCTTTAAAATGACAGCTAAATACATGAACTCGTACTTAAAACAAGCACACACTAAAGAGGTTGAGAAAATAGGGGTAAATAGCTACAAAGTATTGTTGAATTTCAACGATTCTGCTTGGAATATTAACAAACATTCTGCACATTTTAAAAAATCGCCTGTCACTTTCATGTTCAAAACTACGAGCAAAGTTGAGAAAACTTAAAATTTTTACCGCATGTGTCAGCAGTTTCCAAGAGTCTTTGTTTGTGTGTAATTAGGACCAGAACCAAAATTAGGCCATTTTGATAAGCTTTTTCCCTTTAAATACAGCTTTTAATGCTTAAAAACGGCCATTGACTCTCGCGCCCTTCGCCGCTGTTGCTACTAGTAGGCTATCACTAATAGCCTACTAGTAGCGTAGCCAATCAGAACGCACGATACATGATAGCCTACTAGTAGGTTTATACTAATTAC